TTTGTGTTTGTGTGTAATACACTGTGTATGCGTGCATGCATGCGCGCATGTGTGTGTGTGTGTTCGTGTGTGTGTGCGTGTGCGTGTGCGTGTCACTGTGTTTGTGTTTGTGTGTAATACACTGTGTATGCGTGCATGCATGCGCGCATGTGTGTGTGTGTGTTCGTGTGTGTGTGCGTGTGCGTGTGCGTGTCACTGTGTTTGTGTTTGTGTGTAATACACTGTGTGTGTGTGCATGCGTGCGCGCATGTGTGTGTGTGTGTGTGTGTGCATGCGTGCGCGCATGTGTGTGTGTGTGTGTGCGGGCGTGCGTGCGTGCGTGCGCGCGTGCGCGTGTCACTGTGTTTGTGTTTGTGTGTAATACACTGTGTGTGTGTGTGTGTGTGTGTGCGTGTGCGCGCGCGTGCGCGTGCGCGTGCCACTGTCTTTGTGTTTGTGTGTAATACACTGTGCGTGCGCGCATGTGTGTGTGTGTGTTCGTGTGTGTGTGCGTGCGTGCGTGCGTGTGTGTGTGCTGTTTGCTGTACATGGGCGGCGCGAGGTGGCGCCACTGGCCGCTCACGATTCTGGCGTTCTTGCAGGTCGAAGAGCAACTCGGCGTCGCCCGCGCGGAGGCAGAACGGGCGTTCCCATAGCGACGGCTCATCCTCCCGCAGCCCGTCGCCACGGCAACCCATCCGATCCGCCGTGGGCCGGCGCGGCGCGGCGCAGGCTGGCGTCGTCGTGAAACGCGAGCTGAAGCGCGAGCGAGGAGAGAGGTCAAGGTCACGCGAGCCGGCAGGAAGGTCAAGGTCACGCGAGCCCGCTGGGAGGTCAAGGTCATCGCGCAAGTCGCTTAGCTACTCGCCCATCCGCAGGACGTTCAGCGGGTAAGAGCTGCCACCGGGCGTGAGTGGAGCGAACAGGTGCTGCCACCTGGCGTGAATGGAGCGAACAGGTGCTGCCACCTGGTGTGAGTGGAATGCACACGTGCTGCCACCTGCTTGTAAGGATCGCTCGTAAATAAAGCAGTTGCCTCGATCGCCTTCGTTTGAACTTTCCCGTCCGTTATGCTTCATCGTCGATAATTCGAGTGCTCGCAATGCGATCGTGGAGCATTGCGATTCATTCATCACGTTTCACGGCTATTGTTTCCCGTTGCCGCGGGCGCATTGTTTGCACCTGGAAATTATCAATTATTATTTCGGAATTTGAAAACGAGGAATGCATTTCGATTCCGTTTCACGGGCCGTTGTTTCTCGTCAGGGTATTAGCCAGGAATGAGACGTATTGTGGAAGTGCAGAAAAGATATTTGGGAGTGCAATTTTTTTGTATGTGTGTTTCAGCCATAATATTTTAGGCCGCGCTACACATTTTTGGCCGTGCAGTTTCAAAACTGACCGTGCAAATCATGGCTGCATGGCTCGCTGGCTAATACGTTGTTTTCTGTTGCCGCAGGTCTCCCCTGAGGTTCGGTAAGCCGGACACGCTACCACCCCAGGAGAAGCGTCGCGCTACCAGCAGCTCTGTGAGTCCAGCGAGAGAAGAGAGGAGCGGGAGACGGTGAGTGAATAATAATGGGTAGAGTTGTCTGTGAGCAACTAACACTGCTGTACTGCTGCAGGTGGTACGCTTCTATCCCTACACTTTCTGGTGTTCTCCGTTTCTGCAGGTAATGCTGCTTTAGTCATGCATGTGGTGCGCGTAAAAGAAATCTGAATGTTCAGCGACTCGGCTCACCAGTTTGTTAAAGACGTATTTAACCGAAAACCTTGTTGTCAGGTTGTCAGAAACAAAATCAGTCTTACATCAACTTTGACTCGTCGGACTGTCAACAGAAATGTCGTTCTCTTACGCAGTGTATGGAGGGGGGATCTATGAATCTAACGTTAAACGTAATTATGTTTTTGACGACGGAACCCCACCCCCCTGTTCGACGACATATCTGAATGTCGTTTGTCGTCGCCACTGCGACGGCGCGTTTCCCTGCATCTGTCTCATCGTCTCGTCTCATCTCCGCTCTCTGCGTTCTCGTCTCGCGCAGGGTGGCCTCGCACGACCCCAAACGCACGAACTCGAAGTCACATTCCAGGAGCAGACCGAGGTCGATTTCGAAGTCGAGGTCAAGGTCGTCGTCGGCGTCGAGCGCGGCGGTGGCGCCCCCTCGCGGCCGCTCGACGTCGTCGGACAGTTCGCGGTCGCCCTCGCCGCCGAAAGCAAGGTCAAGGTCACGGTCCCCGTCTCTCCCTAGGGCAAGGTCTCAGTCTCCGTCTCTGCCTAGAGCAAGGTCAAGGTCACGATCCCCATCTCTCCCCGGAGCAAGGTCACGGTCCCCGTCCCTTCCCGGAGCAAGGTCAAGGTCCCCGTCCCTCCCCAGAGCAAGGTCACGGTCCCCGTCCCTCCCCAGAGCAAGGTCAAGGTCACGGTCCCCGTCGCTCCAGAAAGCAAGGTCAGGATCACGCTCGGCGTCACCGCCTAGAGTGAGGTCAAGGCCGCGTTCGCTGCCTAGAACGAGGTCAAGGTCGCGCGCGTCCACGAAGAGCCGCAGCCGCTCGCGGAGGCGCTCAAGGTCGTCGCCGCGGTCCTCGAGGTCGAGGTCAAGGTCAAGGTCGCGCAGCCGGTCATCGCAGCGCCGCAGACGCGGCGGATCGCCCGCGTACAGGAGCAAGCGTCGCGGCAGAAGGTAGGTTGGTAGGTAGGTGTGTGTGTGTGTGGTGTGTGTGTGTGTGTGTGGAATGTAAGGGACTTTACTGTGAGGGGAGTTTTGATGTTTCCAGGCTTCTGCTGCTGCTGCTGCTGCTGCTGCTGCTGCTGCTCCTGCTGCTGCTCCTGCTGCTGCTGCTCCTGCTGCTGCTGCTGCTGCTGCTGCTGCTGCTGCTACTGCTACTGATGCTGCTTGCTGCTACTGATGCTGCTGCTACTGATGCTGCTGCTACTGATGCTGCTGCTGCTGCTGTTGCTGCTGCTGCTGCTGCTACTACTGATGCTGCTGTTGCTGCTGTTGTTGTAATTGTTGTTGTTCAGTATGTTTGAGGTTAAGGCATCTGTTAATGCTGCAGGTCACGAAGCCGGAGTCATCATCGAGGGTCAAGGTCGGCCCGTCGTCGGTCAAGGTCGGCGCACCGCAGGTCGCGGTCACCGTCGTACGGCCGACGTCGCCGGTACTAGCGCCACCTGGCAACGGGGTCGCGCGCTCTAGCCGGGAGCGACGAGGATCACGCGCGGGAGTTTTTGATGACCTACTGGGAACAGGGAACCAACTCTTTCGATACTGGTTCGAAATGTGTCTGGAGTTTGTGTACGGAGCGTGAGCGCGCGCGACCCATGGGCAGTGGGGGCTTTTCATTCTTCTGAAACCCCGTTGTTGCATGCGCGCATTGAAATCTTCAGCAGCAGCTACCCTGATACGAGATACTTTGTGGCTGTAACTACCCCTGATACGAGATACTTTTGTGGGTGTAGCTACCCCTGGTACGAGATACTTTTGTGGGTGTAGCTACCCCTGGTACGAGATACTTTTGTGGGTGTAGCTACCCCTGGTACGAGACTCAGATACTTTTGTGGTTGTAGCTACCATGGTGCGAGATACTTTGTGGTTGTAGCTACCCCTGATCATGATACGAGATATGCAGGACCTGTAGCTACCTTGATACGAGATACTTGGTGGTTGTAGCTACCCC